AGTATCATAATCGAGTCTTAGGGGTCAGGTGTAACTTTCCAGTTTTGCCCATCTGTCTCCAAGGTCCAGGGCAATATTGGAAATCTGGTCCGGTTCAAGGATTCAAGTAATCCCATACTGCATGTGCCTTGGGTCTTACCCTGGTGGTCGAGACAGGCCATCCCAACACTTGCAGGATGAATTGTGCAAACTGCAAACTATGATCTAACCTCTGTTTTGCAGGATGAATTGTGCAAACAACCCTATCTGACTGATTCTTGATTTTCTTTTATCAGTATTTAATTTGAGATTAATTTCTTGAATTAAATCTTTTATTAAAGATCAAACCCTAGATCTTTTCGAACCAGATTGGTCCAAACTGGTTGGACCGAATCTAGGGTTCGATCAAGGCTGAATGTCAGCCCTATTTCTCCCACTAATGGGTCTAAGGATTGATAATTAATTAAAAGTTTAATTCGGCCCAACCTGTAAAGGTCCAGTTTTAATCTATTAAAACTGCTAAAAGCCCATTTCGCAAATAAAGCTATATGGACCAAATTGATTAACCCTAATTTCGGCCCATATACCTAGATAATATTAGGGTAAAATACAAAAACCTCCCTTGAAGTTTCTGGCACTTATAAAAGCCTCCCCTATAGTTTCACTTTAGCAAAAACCTCCCCTCTATTTTTGAAAAATTCAACAAATACCTCCCATCAATGACCAAGACAGAAAACATTAAAGAGATGATCATTTTCTCAAAATACCTATTTTACCCTTTTATGAATTAATGTACATATGTTTTTTCCTAGTAAATCAGGGATGCTCTCTACTTCACTCTGCATGGAGAACTCTCTTGATCCCATCCTCATCAAGGGGAAAAAATTGTTGTCTGTGATTGCGGAAGTAGTCCTTGAGTTTCCAAAGGTTCGGTCATCAAGAAAGCGGGCGGTGTGGGAATGATTATTGCCAATGGAGTTTTCAACAGTGAAGGCCACGTCGGTGATGCTCATATGCTCCCAGCTTGTGTTGTCAGTGCCAATGAAGGAGATGTGGTGAAGTCCTACATTTCATCGTCTTCGGTTCTGATAGCCACAATTACATTTGGTGGGACYGTGGTTGGTATCAAGCCCGCACAGGTAGAGGCTTCGTTCTCTGGTCATGGATCTAATAGTTTAACCAATTTGGTTCTACCTAGCTGACCACTAAAATGCCCGTGTTCAACGGCCTTATTCAATTGTGGAACTAGATTAGAATCCATATGGTTGATCTTAGCTACAATCGACTAGCCGGAGCCTCGGCTACCCCCCTGCCCCACAAAAAAAAAAGAAGCAATAAAGGACTGAGAAAGGAGAGAGGGCTATTTTAGTGAAAACTAGGAAGGTTGGAAGGGGAAGTGCACTGCCATTTTGTTGTTGTGCATCGTGAGGAAGAAGATGAATAGTGTTTGAGCAATTATGGATAAAAATAGATGCACATTAATTTGTAAAAGGGTAAAAATAGGTATTTTGAAAAAACGATAATCTCTTTAATGTTTTCCGTCTTGATCATTGACGGAAGGGATGTATTTGTTGAATTTTTCAAAAATATAGGGGAGGTTTTTAGTAAAGTGAAACTATAGGAGAGGTTTTTATGATTGTCAGAAACTTCATGAGAGGTTTTTGTATTTTACCCTTTCCATTAACTCTTTTAATAATCTCTCCTCATTAATTATGCTATTAACTCTCTCCTTCAATAACTCATGGCACTAATATTCATTTCAATTGCATACAACACATTAATTATATTTGCATTAAATTGTAATTATTAGTAAAGATTAATTATATTAAAATTGAGATATTCAATGATATATTGTTACGCTAAATAATCTACTTCCATTCAAAATTATAATCCATTTATATTCCATTTGAAAATAATAAAAATTAATCAACCATAATAAAAATAATTTAGTTAGCTACTTAAATAAAATAAAAATAATTATTAATTATTGTTATTGATAAAAATATTTTTTATTAATATAATAAGAAAAATTTAATTAATAAAAGGAATAAGATAAATAAAAAACTAATATCAATTTAAAACTAATACAAAATTATCAAACAATTATTAGTTTTATAATTAAATTTTATTAATTTAAAACCAACATAAGTTCCACTAAAAATAAAAATTTATATAAATTTCATAAGGAATTAAATTTAATGAAAACTAAATATACTTAAATAAATGCAATTACTAATTTTTTAAAATTAATAAAAAAAATAATTTTAAATATAGCTTAATTATTTTAAAATCAATTTAAATTCCATTTAAAAATAAGAAAAATTATAAAAATCTCTTTGGGTTTTCTAACAATCCTAAGAGGTTCCCACTGTTTTGACCTTAACAAAACCTTCCCTATTGTTTTGACAAAAAATATGCAAATGCCTTTCTTTAGCATTCCAAATAAAAATATTGATGTAATGCATTATTTATACTTCACTTCAGCCTTTTTACCTTATTTTCTCTAAGAAGAGTAAGGAGAATTATTCTTTGAAAGTTACTTGGAAAAATAAATTAGTAAAGGATAAGGTTGAAATTTTAAATTATGTATGGTAATGCATTAACAATGATAAGACTTCAACGAAAAGCCAAGGGAAAGGAGATATTTGCACTTTTTTCTCAAAACTATAGGAGAGGCCTTTGTTAGGGTCAAAACACAAGGGTGGTTTATAGAATTGTTTTAAGCGGATGCTTTTTTATAGTTTTACCTAAAAATAATACATAAATAATAAATTAATAAAAAAAGTTATTTTTCAAATTTATCTAAAGAATAAGAAATTGGCAACTTACTAAGGCTCCATTTGAAAGGAATACAAATACAAATATATAAAGGGCAAAACCTCATATTTTATATGGATTTATACTGTATATATTTATATTTGTACTCCTTTCAAATTAAGCCTAAARTGCAACTTAAATTATGATAGGATAGAGATAACCCCTAAAAATAATACCTTAATACTTGAATTAAAATTAGATGGACACCACTTAATTAGAAATGTAGCTCCATCTTCAATTTTGCCCATAAATAAAGTCCGTACATCGCACGGGTCCTATTCAGAGGAAAGGTAAGTCTCGTTGATCCATGACCACATCCCTGCATAACCCGCCCGAGTTGCACCCAGCGATCTGGGCTCTTTCCCAAATTGAAATTGATTAATTGACTCGTAACAATGGTTCAAGACCGAAGGTCGGACGGGCAACGCAACTGGAGTAATTGAATTTGAGGATTTCCTGGGAGAAAAAGGAAAATGGGTTTGAGGTTTTTGAGATGAAGCACTCTTCAGAGGAGACTCAACCCAAAACATTGAACAGCACAGCGAGAGCAAGAGAGATGGAGAGTCCTCCAGAGAATGATTGCTGCTCCATCTGTCACGACGACTTCAACCTACCTTGCCAAGCCAATTGTTCTCACTGGTTTTGCGGTGCGTTCTTCAACACCAGATGTTTCTTTCTTTGTTCTTTAATTTCGTTGGTCGTGGAGGGTTTTGCTTTATTCTTTACGGGTTTCAGATTTTCAAACATGCTTGATGTATTAGAATGGATTTCACCGATTCTGCTAGGTAATGAAATTTCATGCGTATGGTCTTGCTTCAAGAACAAACATTGGTATCTTGAATAAGTTTCTATGTGCTGTAATCTTTGTTGGATTATTGTTTCAATTGAGGCAAACTAAAGGGTTGGATTTTCAGATGCATTTCTTTCGGGCTTTCTAGGGGCAATTAGGTTAGGTGCCACTGAGATGAAGGTCTCTGTGCATCAGGGAAGGGCTTAAATTCGCATGGTCAGATTCTACATTGCCCTTGATTGAAGGGTTTTCTTTGGATTCAACATCTACTATGCAAAGGAGACTGGAGACCTATGTTTGTATTGGTTTTGTCCGAAAATGCCAAAAAAATGCAATTTTGTTTATAAAGTTTTTTTCATCAGCCAATATTGTTTATAAAGTTGTGAGGTTGCCGGCCTTGATTTTGATTGCTTGGCTTGGATTTTACCAGAAGTGGGCAATGGTGTTTTATTTTAAACGGAAAATTGGACGATCTGTTTGGATATCATGTCAATATGCCCTGATCGATTATATCCCACAATACATGAGTACATAACTTTCACTCTTTCTTATCTAATGTAGAATTAATTTGGCTTCAAAAGACTTGTAATAAGTACATGGACTGCTTTTGTCTAAACAAGCCTAGCTTGAGGGCCAAAACCATAAATCTTCAAAATTATTTAAAAGTTTCTTGTTTTTCTTTGAAAGGTTTTGTTCAATGGGGTCAGTTTGAAAACTTTATTTTTAATAGGTAACTGCGCCATTGCCATTCTCCCAACCTGTAGGTGGTGTAGATTCCCGTGGGTCTGAGAAGGAAGATGTGGAAGTAGAGAGATAAGTGGAAGAGAGGTTAGGGGTCAGAGAGGAGGCTGATGGGATTTGGAATCTGGTTTGCTCTGAGTTCGAGGAGCTTAAGGAGAGGGAGCTGGAATCAGAAGAGAGGGATAAGCTGATAGATCTAGGCCAGGAGGAAGAAATGATTTCTAGGGATAAGGAGAGTGGGGAAATAGGGAAAGAAGAGAACTGGCAAAAGGCCTACCGCAGGAAGAGTGAGGAAAAGAAGAAAAAGAGAAAGAAGAAGAGATCAGAAGTGGAGAGATTGAAGTCAGACATTGAGGGGGACTTCATGTTCAGTGGCAGAGGTGAAAGAAGGAAACTCAAGTCTAAGGAATTTGCAATATAACAAGGGTTGCATCCTAAATACAATTATGGAGCTGATTAGTTGGAATGTTAGAGGCATGGGGAGTGAGAGGAAAGGAAGAGTTATTAAAGACATACTTAGAAGGGAGAATCTAGATATTTTCTTGTTACAAGAAACAAAACTCTTCAAGATGGATAGGTTCTGGATCAGAAGTATTTGGGGTTCAAGAGGAATTGGATAGTCCTGTAGTCCTTGTGGTGCCTCAGGGGGAATTGTGACCATGTGGAAGGACGAAGTGGTGGAGGCTGTAGAGGAACTGATTGGTAGTTTCTCGATTTCTTTGAAGTTTAAAAACACGAGAGATAGATTTACTTGGATTCTCACCAATGTCTATGGACCAAATAGATATCAAGAAAGGAATGATATGTGGGAGGAATTGTTTGATGTTAGGGGTTTATGGGAAGGACCTTGGTGTGTGGCAGGGGATTTCGATGTGATAAGATTCTCAAATGAATCTAGTAAACCAAAACCAACGGGTGACCTCCAGTATGAGGAAGTTCAATGACTTCATAGATTCATGTGAGTTGAAGGAACTCCCTCTCTCAAGCTAGATTAATTTGGCCCAATCTTCAAGAAGTTCCCTATTGCTCAAAACTGGATAGGTTTCTGTTTAATGAAGAATGGGAAAACTACAAGGAGAACCTAGTATCTAGGACTTTACCTAGAGTCGCATCAGACCATTTCCCTATGAAGTTAGGTCCTGAAACTTTCTTAAGTGGTCCTACCTCATTTAGATTTGGAAACATGTGGCTCGCCCACCTAGACTTTGCAAGGAAAGTAAAAACTTGGTGGAAGGAGGATGTGGGTGATGTGTGATGTGAGATGGAAAGTAAAAACTTCGCTTGCTCACCGAAGCTCCGAGAACCCCCTATTTGCTAATGTTGTTCATTCATTCATTGCAATAAAATATCTTCTTAAAAGGTAATGAAAGTTATAAAGTCATTATTTTTTATGTGAGAAATAAGAATTTCAGACCCTAACATAGACTTGTTCGGGCTTGCCTCGAGGGGCGTGGTACAAAGGCAACTCATAGAATCAAGAATGCAATATGTTTTACGTCACATTAGCTACTTGAAGCAATGCAATTAAGGAAAAAAAGAGGTTGTGGGTTTTAAATGCTTGAAAATGCTTTATATGTTTGCTTTTATTATTAAAATTTCATTTGAATACGCTTTAAATGTTATGTTTATGTATTTTAATTTTAGATAACAGGTTTTTTAAAACTTTTATTTTAAAATTTAAGTTTATATTTTTATTAACATTATGTTTAATATTTTTGATTTTTGTTGCATTTTAATTTTTTTTGAATTTTCTGACTTTTTTTTTGATTTTTTTAGCTTTTTTTTCTTTTTTTTTTGTAACTTTGCACCTTTCTTAAAAAGGCACGTGCCTCGCCTTGTGCTTTGCGCCTCAGGCGCAAATTGGCCCTTGCACTTTTAAAACACTGGTTCTTCCATAAGGGAAAGGACAAATGCTATATGGCTACCCCCACCTGAAAACTATGTGAAGTTGAATTTTGATGGGAGCAGCAGGGGGAATCCAGGACCTGCTGGTATATGAGGGGTTGTGAGAGACATGGATGGAAAACTGTTAGCCTTGTTTTCTGGCCCAGTGGGGGGATTGGGGACTCTCTCAAGGCAGAATTGCTTTCTGYCTGACAAGGACCACAAATTGACAATGAACTGGACATAACCAACTTGGTGATTGAAGGGGACTCAAAACTGGTGGTGGGTTGGTTAAACGATCTAGATTCTGTAATATGGTGCTACAGGGATGAGATAAAAAGGTTTTTATGGATCACCAAGGATATGAACTTGAAGATAGAATGGGTGAGGAGATCGGCAAATGGGTTAGCTGATACTCTAGCCAAGCATGGGGTGAATAGACAATCTTTGTTTTGGGCTCACCTGTAATATTCTTGTTATATTTTCTGTTCTGTTTTGTTTATAGAGAGGTAGCATCTCGTGCCTCTCTAAGGGATGCTTGTAATGCTTATACCTTCAGAATTAATAAAATCTATTATCATTTATCAAAAAAAAAAAAAGGTAACTGAATGACTTTATTGCATTAAACAATTAATGGAATATGTAAAAGAAACATGCAACCCTTTTATAGGCTAGACTAATCCCATCTATCCATTTTCTTTATCTAAGTGTTACATTTCACTCCAAAATAATTTCTGCCTATAAACCCCTACCTTTGCCAGCATATCATCCATCCCATTTACTGACCTTTGACCCGCTGAAAATAAACCTCTTTCCATCATCCTTCATTTGATCTCCTTGATAACTGATCTGTGTTGCCACATAGTCTGGATGTTACTGTGAAGCCAGCTGAGCACCACATTGTAGTCTCCCTTGATCACTAGTTTCCTGACATTCATAGAGTTTTCCATCTTCAGTGTGTCAAAATAGCCAGTAACTTTGCCCTTAATGAATTCTCTACTCCAATTGGCTCCAAGAACATTGCTTTGATTCAACCATTTCTATTGCTAAACACCCCTCCCACTCCTGAGTGGCCTAGATTGCTAATGTTGCTTCTGTCAAAATTAAGATTGGTAAAGTCACAACTCACGACTTGGAGGCATCCATTGAATATGGCATAGCCTTCTATTGGTTGAGGTGCTCGCTACCACACTCCAAGATCTTTTTTTTTTTTTTATCAGTAAGAGAAAAATTTTATTAATATCAATATCAAGTATTACAATAGGTGGAAATTCCACCCTAGAGACACTTTTTATAATTTATAATTCTGCCCAGAACATTTGGTGCCTCACTGTCCCTTGTTTGGCTAATACATCTGCCATCCCATTTGCTGATCTTCTCACCCAATTATAGACAACATTCAGCTCCTGTGATCACACTCCAAGATCTCATCAAGTCATCTACCGAATATGGGTTGAAAATCAAGTTATCAACATAGTTTTAATCCAATACACCATTCTCACCATAGTACCCTCAAGTCTCAATCATAGCTTCCTTGGGCTGCCTCTTCGTATTAAAGATAATTGTATTCCTTTCTTTCCACATTATTCATAAAATTGTTAATTGTAACTCTTTAACTCTTATGCAGTGCCACATAATCCCCCCACCGCTTTTGCAAGTTTACAATGGATTTAGCTAAACAAGCTATTTAAATCCAAATACCTGTAATCAGAACATAATACGAAAGGAGAARACTCCCAAATACCTGTAATCAGAACTGATTAAATGATGGAGAAAGGACTAGAGGAAGTTTTTGAAGCTTCTGCAAGATGGAACTCACAGTGTCTGTTCTCTAGGTTCCCAGTCTCTTTATCTGCCACCAGCCGTGGAAGCAAAAGAGATTCACACTGGAAATGGGGATGRGACTGTAGTTGTAGAAAAGATGGGAGAAAGAATTTGGGATTTAATTGAACAACATTTGGAAGAAATGACAAGGAAGGAGCTAGAGGAAAATAAACACACAGAGAATAAGGAAAAAATTGAGGAGGCAAATGCTACCATAGTAGAGGGAGATATAAGTAGGGGGGGTAATCTTGGTGGCTGACAAAAAGGAAGAAGACAGGGCAGAAAATATTGTGGAGAAATTGGGATGTAAGGTGAAGAATCCTAAGGACCTAAAAACTTATTTAAGGACCAAGAAAACTGAGGTGAAGGTGAGAAAAAGGAAGATGAGTGAGGTGGAGAGGCTAAAGT